TATACGGAAGAATAAGGAACCTTTATTCTTCCGCAAATATATCCATAGGATTAGATCCATGGGCACTAAGTCAGGTGGCCTCGATGGCTAACGGCTGGCATCTTGGTTAGCTATCCAATTATTCTTGAAATTGGCTGCAAAAATTTGCTGATAACTTCAGCGTTCAGAGGCGGTGCATCGTCTTGCTGGAAAAATATGTTTTCGTGTTCCATTAAGGGCATATCATCAATAAGGGGTCCAAAGCCTACTAGTTAAAAGTGGCGAACTTTTAAAAATTCTGTATTTCGAAGAGGATTATAACAAAATATCAAGTGTGCTATATTTTTAGAAAGGTAATTTTAATTTCTTTTCAGTTAATTAAAAATATAGAGGGTGTCCCAAATAAAAAATCAATTTTTCTTTTGATAACTCTTAAATTATTAATTTTAAAAAATATGTACTTAAACCATTAAATTCTACGCAAAAAGGTGCTTTGGAAATGTTTTCATAGAAATACAAAATTTTCCATAGCAAAAAAGTTAAGCGATTTGTTAAAAATGCACATTTTTGAAAAACTAAACTCCGAAACGGCAACGGCTATTGATGTGCGGTTTTCACCATCATGTTTTTGATGAAAATTGAGCTCCAGACACCGTTATTAGTTTTCGTCTATCTCCTATAGAAAAGGGTGTTTTCAATTAAAAGCGTCGAATTTGACCCACCCTGTACATATTTTGTTTTTCTCCATTGTGTACATTTTGGACTCTAGTAATACATTCTATATAAACTTCTATTATACAATTTTTGCACCTACCGTTTTGACACATAATACAGTACATCAGTGGCGTATCTAGAGATTGGGTCTGGGAGGGGTAGTGGCAATAATTAAATAAAGTAAAAAATTGAGGAAAAATAAACTTAGATTGGTCTGGGTTTTCTATTTTGATTGGTGTTATTAATTTCCTTTTGTGACAATTTTATTTTACTATAATATACATTTTATATATTATTTAAAACTTCTTCCTGGGAAGGGTATACTTACCCCCATTACCCCACCCGTATATGCGTTCCTGCAGTACCTACATAAAAAATAATTGCTGTTCTATAAAGTGTCAATTGGATTTCGAAGGCGATATTGGGCTCACAAAAAAATATATATTTTCATAAGGCTCCTTGATTAAAAATTAGTGTTTTTCACACAGCCATGGCACTCTAGATTGAAATTTAAAATACACTTTGTTTTTGAGCGAATATGTCAAAAATTGACATAGAATATGTCATTCGATTTAGAGTATCTATTATTTTCGAATAAAGTGGAAAAATACCGAGGGTGCTATTTAAAAATCAAAAGAAATAGAAAGGGATTGAAAACAATTGAATACGTCAATTATATATATTATATATAATATACTAACATACCAAATCTCGTTTTTTTATCTGAAAAAATAAAAAAGTTATAGGGGGTAAGCCACTTTTGAGACGCACCCGGTATTAAAGGAAGACTTTCCGGTTTTTTTTTCAATAATATCCTTCAGTTATAATAAAAATTATATTCCCAAATATTACTTCTTAAAAATAAATAACAACTTGGTAATAAATGTTTAAAGTTTCGGGAGTCCGAAAGGAATTTCAAACGGACGCGAAAGCGCGCCAAACCAGTAGACGTCAAACAGTATGTATTGATTTTTGATCCAAGTGGCTAGTCGGCAAATTGGCAAGATACCAAAGGAAAATGTGATGAATTTTTGGAATGTGTTTTATTGTCATTGGTTTTATTAGTATGTTTTAAACAGGGTTGCCAACCGTACGAGATTTGTGGCCTTCCTTCCACTTTTCAAATTTGATTACCATAGATTTTGTTAAGTTTGTATTAAATAACGTGTAGCGTGCAGATCTATGATTTTCGGTTGCATTAGATTTTTAATAATATAATCGTTGATTGAAAGAACTGTGAACTGTGATCACTGTGAACTTATTTCCTTCAATCAACGATATAATATTAAAAAATTAAGCTCTTCTGCTCTTTTAAATGTCATATACAATATGATAAAAAAACGGCGTCAACGATGGCTATGAAAGAAGCTGATGAAGATCGCTGTCATTTTATATGTAAAATTATATATATTTTTTTCGATCTTACGGAATTATTACAATGTGATTGGCATGTATACAAAAATAATATAAAGAATTATTAGTGGGGGGAAAAGGCGCCAATGGTAGTAAAATTTTAAATTTGGTACTTTTTTAAATAATCAGGTATGGTCTTTCCAAATTCAGTATGCTCTATACCTATGGCAACGCTGGTTTTAGTTCATTTTCAGCATGTTCAGTTATGGCACAAGAATAGGTTGATTAATGATTTCTATTCTTGTGGTTATGGTTTATGGTTCAGTTTTTATCTTAAAGTCTGAGGGTGCATCCACACCACTGTAGAAAAACCGGAACGGTGGATCGGCGTATCGATATTCAGCAATTCCATTGGATGAAATTTTTCGAAAATTCATCTGTCAAAAATTTCAGCCAATAGAATTGCTGGAGATCGATACGCCGCGCCACGCCGTTCCTCATATCCTACGGTAGTATGAATGCACCCTGGGGTGGAACTCTGTAACGAAATAGCGATCGGTAACGATGAAGAATACCATATCAAAAAACTTCTAGATACCAATTTTCATCCAAATATTGTCGTTACTTGAAAAATTATTTCGAAAAAATCGAAGTAAAAATGAAACTTCTACACCCTGTATATCCGAAACTAAGTATTTTATACATTTATACCTATCGCTTGCCGTTTAGTTTGTACGGCCAAGGTCAGTATTCTTCACCGCTACTTGTAGCTACCAATTGCTATTTAAGGTACGCGCACACTGACCAGAGCCGCACGCGCCGAATCGACCGAAGAAAAATATTCTTTGTGTTACTTTCAATGAAAGTGCGCACACTAGTCAGAGCCGCACGAATCGCATCGACGAAAATGCGACCAGCATTGTTGGGCCAGAATGATTTTCTGTAAATGCGGCTAGTGCTACTGACGTCACACGCAATTCCTTCCACTTTACGTAGGTAGCCGAAGAGGAGATTCGAAATTCAATATGCTAAGAAATTTCGCAAATTTTTCATGGCTCATATTGAAATATTTTTAGTTCATCCTCAATTAAATTTGGAAATAATGTGGATTTTTGCAAATATTGTGAACCGTTAACTTTCGATTCTTTCTCGTGATTTTTTCTTATTCTATTAGCAAGGAACTCATAATTGTTTCTTGTTCGTTGTCATTCATTGTCAAAAAATATTAAAAAACACGCTTATCACCGCATACAGGACTCCGGAAACGGCTGATAAGAAATTCAATTGGCAAATACGATTATAGTAGGGACAAAAAGAAACAAAATAGCGAATAATGCAGCGTGTTCGGTAGGGCTCAGTGTGCGCGACAAGAAAAAAAAATGCGGCGCGTGCGGCGAGTGCAGCGCTGGTCAGTGTGCGCGTACCTTTAGGGTACACTCACACGGACTTTACAGCGACTTTTGAAACACAAAAATGTGGTCGCCTCTGGAGAGTAACGATTTTAAATGAAAATCCGGTGAAGTGCTCACACGGGCGACAAACTGCAGTCGGTTTCGGCGACTGTTACCGTCCGTGGTCGATACCGTCCACAGAATTGTCGCCGGCCAGTGGTGAATTCAACTCACACGGGCGTTTTCCGACCACGAGACAACGACAACACAAACTGACCAGATGCTGACCAGGCCGACTTTTATTAGATATAGTCAATTATATTACAGTATATTATCTACGAGGTCGACTCCAGTCATACCTTTGCATCACCAGTCATACCTTTACAGTAATTGGTCTAACAAATAATAGAATGTATTTTTACTCATTCTAAAGAATTTTTCATCATACATTCTTAACATCGGATAAAGTTTTTGGAACTGGCTTTCATTTTTATGTTCTATTATTGGATGAACCCAATAAATTCTTTTCCTGCGGTTTCGCCTTATTTTTCGAAGCAAAAGCCACAACAGTGCTTCTTCTTCAAAATTCATTTTTGACTGAATCAAAAATTTAGTTGTAGTTCGGGTGTCGTCCATCAACTCACACGTGCGACTTCTCGACGACATTTTTGTCGCGCAGTTGTGGTTGTAACGTCATCGATAGCTGCGACAGCACTGTTTTGTCATTGGAAAGTGGTCCGTGTGAGCGTAACATTAGGGTACACTCACACGCACGACTTTACAGCGACTTTTGAACACAAAAATGTGGTCGCCTCTGGAGAGTAACGATTTTAAATGGAAATGCGGTAAAGCGCTCACACGGGCGACAAACTGCAGTCGGTTTCGGCGACTGTCGCCGTGCGTGGTCGATACCTTCCACAAAATTGTCGCCCGCCCGTAGTGAACCCAACTCACACGGACGTTTTTCCGACGACGCGCGACGGCGACGCGACAACAACACAACTTGACCAGATGTTGACCAGACCGACTTGTATTATAGTAAATTATATTATAGTATCTTATCTATAGTCATATCTCCAGTCATACCTTTGCATTACCTCTGTTGCCTGCGTATCGAACGCTTCTTCTTAAAAAAAATTATTCTATTATTTTTATATTTATTCTACTATCTATTTTATTTACTATATAGCGATTGCCAGTCGTTCATCACAGGTATACTTTTCCTCATAATTGTGTCATCACGTTTTAAGCTGTCTTTTAATTGGCCTAACAAATAATCGAATGTATTTTTACTGATTCTAAAGTAATTAAAGAATTTACATCATACATTCTACTAACACCGGATAAAGTTTTTGGAAGTGGCTTTCATTTTTATGTTCTATTATTGGATGAACCCAATAAATTCTTTTCCTGCGGTTTCGCCTTCTTTTTCGAAGCAGAAGCCACAACAGTGCTACTTCTTCAAAATTCATTTTTGACTGAATCAAAAATTTAGTTGTGGTTCGGGTGTCGTCCATCAACTCACACGGGCGACTTCTCGACGACATTTTTGTCGCGCAGTTGTGGTTGTAACGTCGTCGATAGCTGCGACAGCTTAAAGACCGTTTTGACGTTGGAAAGTGGTCCGTGTGAGCGTAGCCTTAGTTACAGAGTTCCAGCGTTCCAGCCCTCCTAGCGACATCATGGCGTCGGCGTCGCGTGGCTAAATATAAAAACGAACAACGAACCGCTAACCAGTCAGTGTGCGGCGTCAGGCGGCGTGTGGTGCGGCGATACCTGTGGGCGAGACGCAGAGAGAATAAGGTCAACTAAGATTTTTATTCTTAATTTAAATTTCTGTCCGTGCGGGTTCCTGCGAAATCTTTGTTAAACCAACTTTAAACAAACAATAAAAGTTAGACTTAAAAATACTTCAAATGGATGCTGCGGGTATCGCATCTATCATCAACAGAGCTAACCAGCTTAACCCCAACAATGTAGCCTATTGGCTGTCCAGAGGATTCGCGGCCAGACCAGAAAACTGGGCCGAATGTAAGTTTTTTTTTAATTTTTATTTTGGTCCATAATTTAATTTATTTGTTGTGTTTTTAGTTTCTACAGGCGATATTAATTTTTATTTTATTTTGTTCCAGTGGCTGGCCAGGCTGTAGTAGCCACAACTAGTGTGGGGGCCACCGCAGGGTTCCTTGCCACTGCTGGAACGGTCCTATCTTTCGCTTCGACGGCATATTCTGTTTATTCTGTAGGAAAAATTGCATATGGACTATACGGTTATCTATACAAAAAATAAAAATATGTCTGTGCTAGGAACTTATGAATTTCTAGTTTTATTTTTTGCATATTAATTATTATTGTATGTACAACCTTATTCTTATAAATAAACTCATTATTATATTATACTTCTTTGTCTTCTATTAATTCAAATTCATTCTGCATTCTTAAATTTCCGAATACCTAATTTTATCAAGAAGTATTTATTTGCTGTTTTTTTTTTGAGGGAATATAAATTTCTTTTACTACTAACAAAATACCTATCTGATGATTCTATACAGGGTGGTCCGAACTGTATTCCGGAGACTTCGGCAGAATATTCTGCAGATAAAAATAAGTAAAAAAGTTCGTATAAATGTATGTCCTAAAATGCTTAGTTTTAGAGGTACAGGGTATAGACTTTTATTGAAAAAGTGGTCACAAAATGGGAAGAATAAAGGGGGTTCGCCAAATGACCACAGTGGCGCTAAAAAACGCATGAATCTAAAAAATGAAAAGTAACCATAGATAAGAGAATAAAAATAAATATAACCAGATATAACCAAACATTACCCAAAAAAAGTTTTGTTTTTATTTTTTAGACAGAGTTTTTGAATATAAAATAATTATTGTTATCAATATTTTGTGCTTTATTTATTATTTAACAATGGTTAAAGTGTGTGTGGTGCGAAGTTGATTGAATAGCTGATGGAAAAATAAAGAGCAAAGGCAAAGCCTACGGTATGTAAAATACATACTATAATTCAGTATTGTATTATTTGTATTATACTTCGATAGCCCCGTCCTCGAGATCACAATGTAGTTTATGCTACTCAGCTTTTTCGGCGTAATGTTTACAAAATTAAAAAGATTTATGTCCCTTGGTCGTCGCCAGTGTAACACAACCTTTTTGTGAGGTAATCACAGAATATACTAACCACAGAACACACTAAAGAAGAACGCTAACTCCCATGCATTTTTTAGTTTCAAAACGGTTTCAAATTTGTAAAGAAATCTGTAATCTGTATATTGAAGTGGCGCCATCTAGCCACCCAGGAAAGTAACAAATGTGGCGGCAAATTTAAATAGATGCAATTTATTTTTAAGCAAGACGTATTGACTTGTTCGCCAGTTAGTAGAGCCAATCAGATTTCTACAAAATAATGTGTAGTCATCTGATTGGTCCCAAGTTGGCAAACAAGTCAAATGGTAAAAAACAAGGATTTATATATAAAGGTTAAACCAGGTTAAACTATTGTAAAGTGTTAAATGGTTGGCTTATATCATTTTATGTGCATAAAAATCTACAATAAATAATTTAATTTAATTTACAGAAAATTATACCATGAAACATTTTACAAACAAATAAAACAACAGATTAAAAAGTATAATATTTATTATAGTACCAGATTTAAGAACACATAACAAATATCGTTGGAATACAAGAGAAAGTGACGTCCATTAGAAACAATAATGTTTTATTTACGTGTATTTTTTACATATGGACTTGAACAATTGTGTAATATCACATTGTGGAGTTTATGTACAAAAATATGGAGTTGATCAATTTTTTTTGTAAAAATATATGGCGTTGTAAATATTACATTGTTAAAAAATAAAATTCACGAACATTTGGACTTGGTTAGGTTACCTCACCTCACTTTCTCGGATTATTAAATAAAATTGTTAGATAAATCAAAGACCTTTAACTTAAACCTTACCTTTAATAAATCTTAAAAATCAAACAGAAAACAAAGTTCAAAAAAATTCAAAAATACAAAGTCACGATTGTAAAATGAAGATTGCAAAAAACAGAGCCAAACAACCAGAAAACAGCGAAACGCACATCTCACAGAATATACTAACGAAAAGGAAGCCCAAGTTCCTTGTAATAAATCGGTTCCATTTTCGTAACGCCATCTCTCGACATAGCTGACATTATAGGTTAGCCAAAGGGGTGCGGGGCCGGGGGGAATTGTAAAATACACTTTTTTATTTTAATTATTTTTATTCGCTATTTGCAGTTTTATTTTTAAAACATATTATGTGAAACAATCACATAATATGTCTTAAAAATAAAATTACAAACGGAAACAAAAGGAATTAAATAATCTCAAAATCTACAAAGTTTATTGATAAAAAAGTTAGGCTATGCAAATTGATAAGTATATTAAGTATAACCTCTTTGGTATAACATTGTTAAACAAACATTAACAAATCATAACATAGAAACAATCATAGAACTAAAAAAAGTACTATTACATAAAAACAGGTGATACAATACTTCAAAATTAATTTTAACATAATATCAAAACCGAAAAATCAAACTGCAAACACAACCACACTTATCACAACAGAAATTAACACACACTTCCGCGGCAAATGTCCAAGAAAGACTGATCATTCTGATTGGTCCTGGTCCGGTCGTAGCTCACGTCGTATTGTCGGTAAGCAAAATCCCTGTCCAAAAATTTTGACGATCAGAAATTTCATAAAAATATTCTGCCTTCGAAAATATTCTTTCACAAGGAACTGAACTACCAAGGGTACAACATTTGTGCTTAACAATTTCACTAAGGTAAGGATAGTTGTAGTGGTTATTTTTCCACCAATCGAGAGGGTTACAGTTGCGATCTAAAATATCATCTTCCAAATATCGTTGCATCTCGATGATTGCGCGGCTTGATGCTGATGATGATTTAGGTCTGTTTTTAATCACATTTTTATCAATACAGTCCCAGAGTGTAAAAGTATTGGAACTGGATTCCTTCAAAGAGCTTTCAGAGCTTTTTGGGAGGTTGATTTGAATGTTGAAGGTTTTCCACATTATTCCTTTTTGTTTATAATTTCTGTAAGCAGACTTATAACTAATTTTTTTTTAACGTTTTCTACGGCGTCGTCATGCTTAAATGGGTATATTTTAAACCTTGGATCTAAAAATGTTGCAAGAGCTAAGGTATTGCTGTATTCTACATTTCCTAGCCGATTTCGCAAACCATCTTCCAAGCTCTGTATCACAGTTTTTGTTGAATTTAGAATGTTCTCGGTCTTCATTCTCTCACAAATATTTAACAGACCACGTTGTAAAACAATCACAAGTGCAGCAGATATATAATTTTGTCCACTAATATTTTTGGTAGCTTCGTCAAAATGTTTTAAAACATCACAGAGTTCTTTTAGTAGAGTCCATTCGTCAGCATCCAAATGTGGCAAACGAGCATCTAACAAACCCGTTACGGATCTTAGCGGATCTTGGAGTTCTACAAATCTTAGAATCATATGGAATGTAGAATTCCATCTAGTAATAACATCCTGTATTAACATTTTGGAGGATCAATACCAAATTGCTTCTGAAAGTTTTTAATTTAGTGTTAGCAACGGTGCTTCTCCGAAAATGTGCTACAATATTTTTACTTTGTCCAAAACGTCTGTCACTAATTTTAGAGAATCCTGTACGATTAAATTAAGTGTGTATGCAAAACAACCAAAATATTTCAGACCTAACTCATTAGTTATTGCACTTTTAATATTTCTTGCATTGTCTGATACGACCAAAATAACTTTTTCTCTAATTGCCAATCTTTTAAAACATCTCTGAATCTAGAAGCTAAATTTAGGGTAGTGTGGTTTTCTTCTAGTAAATCACAACTTAATAATATAAGAGGACATTTTAAAATTATTGTCAATGTAATGACCGGTTATTGCCATATGTCCTTCATTTTTACAGATGTCCAACAGTCAGTAGTTAGGCAAATATTAACAACCTTTTAATTTCTTCTTTTGCCCTTTCGTAACACTTTTTCATATTCCAAAGGGATAAGAGTGTTTGAAATAGTTTGCCGAGTTGGTAAGCTATATGATGGATTTAAATGATTAACAAAATTTCTAAATCCGCGATCTTCAACTACACTAAACGGTTGGTAATCGAATATAAAAAGTCCTAACAGTTCATTGTCTATCTTGTGTTTCGCAGTTGTAGAAATTTTTCTTGGGATATACGATGTAAGAGTTTCTTGTTTTCTTTAAGAATTTGCTGTTTAGAAGGCCCAGCCATAGGTTCAATTACCTCTGTTGCGAAATTCCCATCCGATGATGTTGATTCAGATGCCCCCTGTTCATTGTTGGTTTCATCTCCCGAATTTAAAACAGTCTCACTTTCAACACTACATTTGTCTTGGACAATTTTTATATTGGGATGTTGTTTAAAAAATGTTTTTTTAAATTTGAAACAAGTATTTGTATCCAATTTTCGTTTTACACATCACATTGGGCAGTTTTTTTTCTTCGTCGCGTATCGAAAAATAAAGCCATATTGGACTTCGTTTGGACATTTTAGCTATTCACGTTCGTATACTTCTTCAAAAAACAGAAACAAAAAAAAACAAGTAACAAGATGAACGCACTAGAAAACGTATTTCGAATTTAAGAACTGACAGTATAATAGGTGTCGGAGATATATTTTTGTTTTTATAAGTGAGGTAGCATCCCCTCAAGCAAAAAAAATGTTTGGAGTGCAAAACAAAACTAATTATATTCGCAGCACAGTGGTTTGATACTATGTAAAGTTTAAGGGCTATTCTACTATAATATTATACTTTTGCATAAAATATAACAAATTAATAAAAATTAACAATATTTATTTATTAAAAAAATTATTTAAATAAATAAATACAATTAGAATAATTAGATTGTGAATAATAATAATTAGATTGTAAATGAAAATGAAACATTTTTAACGTCGTAATTTTTTACGACGTTAAAAAACGGATTTAACGTAACGAAATTAGTTAAAAATCAACAAATGAAAAAAAATTAAAATTGACAGTATTTTTTTTTTCGGCAACCTATTTTATATAAAGTTCGAGAAATCAACGCCCATACGAATGCTTTTATTTTAAAATTGGCTGCGAAGAAAAAATTTAAAAACTTATTTAATTCATCTTAGTATGCCTATATAGAAATTAAAAAAAAAATAATATTTGTTACTTTTGACAATAAATTTCAATACAAATATTTTCACGAAATTCAAATGCTATCAGTAGCAGTCATATTATATACCCTCAGGGGGCATATCGTCTAGCGCCAGGGGCAGATACAGGAATTTATTTTAGGGGGCCAAATAAAAGTACTGTAGAATATGCTTTTTAGA